CAGTAGCATTTAACCACCGTCTGTGACTCCGTTTGAGGATTGGTGACTCATCTCCCACGGCTTTCTTAATTACTATATTAAGACTTGGAGCGATAACGTGTGTATATATATATTTCAAGTTGAAATTAACCTCACACTCTCACCCTCCCTTCCTCCTCCTCCTCCTCCTCCTCCGCGCTGCAGCAGCTTCCATTTCGTTGTGGTGGTTGAAACCAGTCACCTACACCCTTACCTCAAGGGTGACGTCATTTATCCCTCGAAAGGAAAAAGAAAGGTAAAAAAAGGGCTGTTGTACGCTCAGCTCATCCCATCTAGGTCTAGACCTCAATAATAATATACAAATTTATAAATAAGCCTAATTTCATTAATAATTTTATTATTTTTCCATATGGACGAATAGACCCCTTCTAAGGAGTTCTTTGTCTCTCTCTCTCTCAAGTCCTAGTCTCTCTCTTATGGATACCCATTACTTGGAAGTTGGAAATTTCACTTTGACAAAAGAAGGCTCACAATATATAGATATACTTTTATTTATTTTGTTGGTTGAAATTGAAAAAGGTCGGTAGCTGGGCGCTGCAAGTCATCTGCGGTACGTATAGCAGTCATGGAAAAACAAGGCCGTCGTCATCACATAATCCCCAAACTCTTCCCCCACTCCGTCTCCGATTGCTCATTTAATGCTTCCGATGATGGTCTTGTTGACGCTACCAACAACACTAGTAGCAGCAACCCCTCAATCCCAATCCCAATCCCAATCCCAATCAAACAACTTTTCAGACAACCAAAAGAAATCAAAGTAATGGATTTCTTTTCCGATAATAATATCATGAATGATGATGCTGATGATGATGAGGAGCCCCGTCGTCAACCCCAACAAGACTGCAACAATAATCCTCCGGCTGTTAACGTAAGATTATACTTCCTTTTTATTGTTCTTTTCTTTTATATATCATCTTATATATCTATATATAAACAAAACCCACCTAATTACCATCATCACTACTCACAAATTATTATATATCATCCATGGCCAGACAGGATTGAATCTCCTCACTCTAAATTCCGGAATTTCATCAACATCTGCCAGTGATATTCATCAAAATTCCAATAACAAGGTACTGATTAGTCTTACCACATATTTATTTACATATGGCTGTGTTTTTTTTATTATAAATTTCCGGCGCTCGATTCATTTTAGAATTTGATGTTTCTCTCTCATATGTGTTTCCTAATTAATTTCCAATTATCATAATTAATTGTTGATACTATTAAATCGTAACTTGGTAACTTTTCATCAGCTGATGACTAGTCTTCAAGTTGAGTTAGAGCGGCTACATGAAGAAAATGGCGAGCTCAAAACCATGTTAGACCAAATGACCAAAAGTTACAGCCAGTTGCAAGCTCAGCTACTCATGGCGATGCAGAAACAGGCACAAAACAGACTACGAGAGCCGGTATATTAAGTTTATATTTTTACTTTTAATCTTGTCTCCCCTCCCTAGAACTATCGCATATACGTGATCAACATGATCCTGTTATATATAAAATTATGAATTGACAGGATTAATATATTAGGGTTTAGGCCTGTTAAAAGGCAAGTGCTGAGGTGTTCTAATGTCCATTACACCATATATATTGGTGTCGTGCTTGAGATAATACCTATATGAACAGATGTGCACTCCACATTATTCTATTAAAAATTCAACAACATTGTAAAACCAGTCCAGCATAAATATAAAGAATATGAAGTTAATATTTGATCACAACAGTACGTAAGGCATGGTTTCTTGAACAACAGATTAAGTGTGAGGCAAATGGCATGTTGGCCAGACAATTCATGGATCCACGGCCATCTACAGCTGCTGCAATGGACCATGTCCGCGATCCATCAGTTGCCTATTCTTCTGGAAAGACACCGGCTGATCATGAAGCCTTCTCATCATTTGCTCCATCAAATTTGAATATAGAGGTGATGTCAATGGAGCGTGACCAATATCAGAGGAGGCTGCAAACTAATATTAATTGTGCGGAAGAAGCTCTTGACCGGTCATCCCAGTGTCCAGGGTCCCCTAATTATACCAGTAAAAGTAGCGATCCCAATTTATTTGATGATGATAATGATGAGCCCAAACGTAGTACTGATCAAGAACAAGTTCCAGTGGCTGATCAGATTCCTTTTAGGAAGGCAAGGGTTTCCGTACGAGCAAGATCAGAAGCTCCTATGGTATGTACATTGAACCACTTGTACTCAACTAAATATATACATGCATATATGAGAGTTTTGCACATGAACTCAATCATTCTATTGCTAAACTTATGTTACATACAAATGCTAATTATGTTGCAATATTGTGAATTTCGACCACATCAATGGTACATATTCACAGTCTAGCTAGCATAGCAAGACAGTTTGACAATGTGTGACTTCAATTGACTTGTGATATGAATCCAGCAACTAATGGTTTCTTAATTTGAAAATGTTTGTGGAAATAAATATATGCAGATTAGCGATGGATGTCAATGGAGGAAATACGGTCAAAAGATGGCAAAGGGTAACCCTTGCCCACGTGCTTACTACCGTTGTACTATGGCCATTGGATGCCCCGTTCGCAAACAGGTGCAAAGATTGGCGGAGGATAAAACCATTCTCGTAACTACTTATGAAGGTAATCACAGCCACCCTCTGCCTCCAGCAGCCACAGCCATGGCCAAAACCACGTCAGCAGCAGCTGCCATGCTGCTATCAGGTTCAACTACAAGCAAGGAAGCTCACCAGTATCATCATCATCATCTAGCAAATTCTGGCTTCTTCTCCAATTCCCAGCTGCCCTTCTTCACTTCGTCCATGGCCACATTATCAGCCTCTGCACCATTTCCCACCATCACGCTGGACTTGACTCAGAGCCCCATGCAGCAATTCCACCGAATCCCGCCACCTTCCTCATCCACATTTCCTCTGCCTTTGCATGGTTATCACCAGCTTATGGGTGGGCTGGGGCATCCTATCCAAGCCCCAATGTATTTCCCTCCTAATTACAAGGCACCCCCACCACCTGCTGGAGTGCCGCTAGGCGGCCAACGTAGTACTAGTACTCATGATAGTGGCATGATTGAGACTGTTGGTGCAGCCATTGCTTCTGACCCCAATTTCACTGCAGCCCTAGCTGCGGCCATCTCAACTATTATGGGGGCACCCCGCCCCCACCAGGGCCACCAGGGGGGGATTAATATTAATGATGGAGACATCGCTAATAATAATGCAGCTAGAGGAGTAGTTGCAAGTACCAATCATTCCCCTCCTAGTGCTAATATTGGGGTTCCACCCGGATCATTACAGCCTGGATCCCCACAACTTCCTCAGTCCTGCACCACTTTCTCCACCAACTAATCATCATTTACTCATATGTCCTGTTGGGTCACTAGCTAGCTATGTTTTGTTTTCAATCCATCTTAGATTCACGAGGGTGTTATATGCCATGAACTATATCTAATCTAAGATCGGGTGTTGTTTGTTGCCTTTGCTGCTCTATCTAAAATGCATATATAGCTCGGTTTTAATAGATACATTCATTGTTCATGTTTGGGAGTCGAGTTGGGCTAAGATATTGTTTCGCACCTGTAGATATATAGTGAATTATGATTATACGCGTTGTATTACTGATCATCAAGTTTGATGAGACAACATCTTCCTTGTACATAAATAAAAGGTTATATATAAAGAATGAGATGATAGAGTATAATGAAGATGTTACATATTCAAAAATTTTCTGCCCAAGAATTCTGGAGTTTATTTCACTACAAGAAAACATTGTTCATAGCCATGGATATATGGGGCATAGAATGAGGTGCCTAACTGCATTATCGGTGCTCATTGGATAGTGCAGTTAGCCACCCCATCTTGTGCCATTATTAATGTTGTTTTCTTCTAGTGTTTAGGCTTGATACATGTATATGTCGTTGATGCGCTAAATTACATATATATCACTAATTTCTATAACTTAAATTTAGTAAATATTATAACATTGTGTGATATTGCATATAAGCAGAAAGAAGACTAAAAAGATGAACAAATAGGTTCTTTAACGTACACACAAGAATAATGGGTCTTCTATCCCTCCCAAGTTTCACTAGCTACAAAGTCTCCAAGACATTTAAAATCTCGTATCGTATTTTATTTTTATTTTTGTTAAAGGGTTTATTCTTTTGTACTGCTAAGAATCCAGCTCTTTTTTAAAGTTAAAATTAGGCCTTATTTTTCAGTTCCACAAGAAGAAAGGGTACGTAGTAGTACCCGATTAAAATGTTTACTAACCGTCTGGAATTAGAATAAAAATAAAATTGGAGCGTAATTGAAGTGTTTACTGTTGAAATCACAACCAGTTTGATTACGTACCTCCCTAAAAGGGATCAAAAGAAAGGTGATGCATGATTGAAATGAACTCGTAGCATAGACAAGCACACACTGAGGGATTTTATTGACCAAGAAAAAGAAAAAGTTCGTCTGTGCTTTATTTTATTATGGGTTGGGCAGGGTCAGGGGCAGGGTGTTTTTAAGTCAAGGAGCGCGCTCAAACTCCCAATATAGAAACCCACGAAAGAAACAACGGAACGGAGAAGTGAGGGAGGCCCCGCATTGCAGCCGGGAGTGGGCCCCTCACGCCACTTAAACTTTAGGATTTAATTAACGAGAGGGAGAAGAAGGGGATGGGAGTGGGGCCAGCAAATTTCAAATTTCAAAAGCCAACCCAAGCCACCGTAGTCGACCGTTGAGATAGTGTGAGGTAAACAAAACAACAAGAAGAAGAAGATTGGGATTAGAAAGAAAGAGAAAGTCATTCAGTGTTTTTGTTTGGAGAAGAAGAGCAATCACAATTTGCAAATTAGCTAGTGTCGTTGTTTGTTGGTAAGACTAATGAATAGGAGACGCCATGGCTGGCAACGCCCCTTCCACCCTTTGCAGGTATTTTCTTTCTGTTTTTATTTTTCTGGTTTGGTCAAAGACCTCTATCAGTCTATCTAAAACAAAATGCATTTGAGTGCAATGCAGATTGTGGGAATTGCAGTTTACAGTTTTCTTGTGGTGTCCTTCTATACATTCTTTGGACTTTTCCTGGGAAACAGAATAGCCGAAATCACAGTCACCACAATCTTTTCCTTTGTGGTACTTTATACTACTCTCTACTCTTCTCTTATATACATACCTTGCTCAAGTTTATATCAATATCAGCTTAAGATCAAGTTGACATCTGAATTCTCATATTGAAATTAAATTATGAATTTCAGGCTGTTTCAGTCATGTTCCTGTTCATAAGGTGCACAGCCACTGACCCAACTGACAAAACCAGCCTTCGGAAGAAGAAACCTAAAGCTGGCAAAGGCTATCCAAAGCTCAATTACGGGTTCGTTTTGGGGCAGATTATAGTGAGGTTCTTTAGAAGAATGGAGAGAAAGATCCTCAGGACTTTCATAAGGAGGAGGTATCTCAATCCGTGGAAGACCGGCGCACAGTTGGATCCATTGCTCCCATTTCCCTTTGTCCTCATGAAAGAAGACGCGGTCTCTCCCGATTTAAGGGAAGACGACATCTCCTTCTGCGCACTCTGCGATTTTGAGGTAAGGTTACGAGCTTATCTCACTCTCACATCGGTACACGAGCATCACATTGATTTCGTATTTCTATAATATAATTCTATTTTCAGGTGAAAAAACACAGCAAACACTGCAGGACCTGCAACCGTTGTGTTGATGGCTTTGATCACCACTGCAGGGTGAGAAATCCTATCCTTGTTTGCTTCGTATTCATTTTGAGAACACATTCAAATCAAATTCAATTGTTTTTCTTTTCCAGTGGTTAAACAACTGCGTCGGGAAAAAGAATTACACCACATTTATTCTCCTCATGATTTTCGTTCTGTTATTGGTAAGTTCCATGTTTTGTCTCTTTGGCTTCTTTGAGAATTAAAACTCAGTCAACAAGTTGAGATTTCAATCTGTTTGCTTCACCTCTTGTTCACCAAATCCATGATAAACAAAATTACTGCTTCTGCTGACACAGCTAATCATAGAAGGAGCAACTGCAATTGCAATATTCGTCAGGTGCTTTGTAGATAAAAATGGAATAGATCAGGAGCTGAAGAGGAAACTCTACGTAGACTTCCCAAGAGGCATTCTTGCAACGATATCGGTAGTTAGTTAACGTTATCTCAAGTTTCCATTGCAGCAATCTCCACTCATATACTCATTTTAACTCCATCAAAATCTTGCAGGTCTTGCTAACTTTAATGACAGCTTTTTTTCTTTCATGTGGTTCTAATACGGAAGGTATTTTGCAATTCTAATCCGCCAATAACCCAACACTCCTTTTCGTTTGCCAATTGCCAGTTTCACAGTAGCATTGTAGGGTAGTATCTCATGAGGCGAAATTGGTAAAACCTGCTCCACCTTCTCACTAAAATGTTGTGCACAATACATTCCTTTTGCAGGGAATGAGAACATATGACTATATCCTGGCAATGAAAGAGGAGAGCCAATCCATAGAAATGGATCCATTTGATGATTCAGATTTCTCCTCAGACTTGAGTAGTGATTTTGATTCACCTGAAAAGCCATCATTCATATCACGGTTTATATGCAGAGGACGAGGGATAACTCAGGTACAGTCACATATCTTATACAGGCATACAGCCTTCCATAATTATGTTTCTTCAGATTTGGGGAGGCACACAAGTCCATCTGCCTAACTTATTGTATAAATTGACATTCTAAGTTTCAGAATACCAGAAGGCTGTCCATAAGAATTGACGGAGATCCTCAGCCGTCCTCCTCAACCGTGAAACAAGGCTTCCGTGTCAGCATTGACCCGTGGAGACTGATAAAGTTGAGCAAGGAGAAAGCACTGATAGCAGCTGAGAAGGCCAGAGAAAGGATTGTGAAACAGAAGCCTCCTACAGAAGAGGATTCACTGAAACCACTACCATTGGAGACAAAATGTGGACCACTCACAGATAAAAACACGGCCACAGCAGGATCAGGCTTAACACCTCTTATATCCAAAGGGTGGATGCCAGGGTCACCCGGAAGGTTTCCAAGCCCAAGAAGGCGGTTTTCTGGTTCACCAACAATGTTCTCTGGCATTGTACCATCGCCAAAGCAAAAGTACAGAAACAATTTTGACTTGAAATTGACAGAGGTGTCCAGAGAGCTGGAGACCTACATCTCAAGGCAGGTTCTATGTTCTGTTATAAAGAAGGACGGTACTGAGGCATCCCCAAGATAGGGGAGGGGAGTTAGAACAAAAATCTAGATTCTCAGCCTTTGAGAAGAATCATTCATCGCCTGTGTGCTCTTGATGTCATGTGTGGATTTCTTTTTCGGAGACTGACGTATACATGCATTGTTAAAATTATTACCCACCCATTGAATGTAACTTTTGTTTTTGTTTTATGGTAATGCCCATGCAATGTAATTTTTCCATGGAAATGCAAGTTGATGGTATACATATTGCCCTGCATCAAACTGAAATTTCCTAGAATTTGGCTTCATCACCAAGCTCGTGTGTGCACAAAGCTTTTTTCTGGAGTAACTCTGTCAGCAGTGTTATTTTATTTTATGTTTAACATTTGTATCTGTTAGTGTTCAAGAAGAATATATCCTTAAGTATAATAAAATCACTATTGCTGGAATGTTGCTTCAATGAAGTTGAAGAAATTTGCCACTAATATGATGTTAGTTCTCTGATCATTTGGATGGTAATGAATGTGACAACATCACATTTGCGTATGAGGTGCACCCTTGACCCGGCAACATGAGAAGTGCTTTTTGTGTATGTGTGTGTTAATTTCTTTCCATTGTATAACTTGAAATGCAAGAGGGAAAAAAATGTGTTTTGAAATTACAAAATCTTTCTATTTCCAATTTATGACAAAATCACTCAATTATTTGTTACTGCACACAAACTTACAAGATATACTCATTCCCTTAGTACCATCTCGCAAGGTACAAACCACAAATTAGCAACTCCACTCAACTTCTTATGTCGCGCAATTATATCCTCCAGCTATGTAATTGGCTGTTGCACTGAGAAATGGCAAGAATCGATTTTTTTCAACATTCACAGAAGGCGACTTTCATGAATCTACCAAGACAGAAACTGAACACCTTTGTTTTGATTACTTGAAATCCATATGTGATCAGATAGATAGTAACAATCCAAGTAATGCTCAGGGGAGATTCTCTCCTTGAGAGGCTCACAAGTTTCTGGAGAAACTAAGTCAGAATATCCTTGAATAGAAGAGCATATCCATGGAGATTTTGAGGTCACATTAAGGGTAATATTGGATAAGCAAATGTCCATAAAAGTGTCACCTTCTAAACCCTCTAGGAGACCTGCAGTTTTGATATTCTTTCCTACGACATCTTTAAAAGTAATTTGCTCTATAATAGGGAGGGCATTTGGGTCATAAAACTCATCTGGGTGCTCCCCGTAGTGACTGGTGAACCTTATAGCTATATCTATACCATCCAAGGTCACGTTCGATACATAGATATTTTTCACATAGCCACCCCTTCCTGGGGAGGTCTTTATTCTGATACCTGTCTTAGAATTGAAAAAATGGAGGTTTTCTGCATGAACTTCTGACACACCTCCAGACATCTCACTTCCAATTGCAATTCCTGCGCTTGTTTCAGTTTTCCCAGTAATCCTACGAATGATAATGTTTCTACTGGGACGACCATATGAAATACCATACTCATCCCATCCACTTTTGATCGCTATCAGATCATCACCAGTGCTAATATAACAATCTTCAATGCAGACATTATCAGAAGAGTCTGGATGCATCAAAATGGACGGGTAAGAACAAAATTGTTTGCTTATTGTTTACAACTACTAAATGAAGCTAAAACATAGTTTAAAATTGACGCATTTGGTCAGGAGTGAAAGTGTATTATGTGCTTATTTGACACTAAGCAATTTTCAAGTGGGAGAATGAGGAATCCACAACAATGAAAGATATGCCAGTATTCACATTTAAGGGTAAGGATTAACATTTGATCCACGCATGCAAAACTATTAGTGTTTTGTTCTATAAGCGTTTACAAAGAACCATGAGTGGATTTTGAGACCCTTCAGGTTTAGACAGAGTTATATGACAAGACCAACCATGAGTAATTCGTATATGTAAATGAAATAAGAAAAAGAAATGTTATCTTCACATAGAAAGGGAGATTTTGGTGTTTTACCTGGATCAATCCCATCTGTGTTTGGTGACTTTGGAGGAGCAATGATTGTCACATTCTGGACAGTTACATGGCTGTTCATCCAGAAAAACAGTCTCAACTCTCCCTCTAATTCATAAAAGCTTCCCTTTTTCCTTAGTTTTAATATGATACTGAAAACACTTGAAATCTACCAAACAAGGAAGAAAAATGTTATTCAATCCTTGTGGCTAAAACTAACCTGCAATATACAGGGTGAATGGTCCAAAATGGTGAATTTAGGAAGGTCAGGTTTGAGATCACAATCCCAGTTGAGTTCATCAATTCCACCAAATGGGGCCTTGTGTAATTCAGGGTTTTGTTATGGAACCAATTCCACCAGATGCTGCCTTGGCCATCAATAGTCCCATTATCACCTGCATGAGGAGAACAGCAACATCAATAAATCAAGCAAAATGCACATGTGAGACGATTCCTCATCTTATATTACCAACCTGTTATGATAACGTCCGTCAAATTGAGTCCATAAATGAGACTTCGATGTCTTCCACCTGGCAACTCCCTTCCTCGACCATATGATGGTAAAGGTTCAACAACTGGCCAGTCATCAGAGTTCTGGAACATTCCAGAAGAAGTTACTGAGTATTATGAGCTAAAATATTAGTCCTGTGCCTGCATGGTCATGGCACTACCTTACTGAACTTGGAGATCAACTCTTATCCGGAGATTGAAAATAGTTACTCTTTAGGACTAGCAGTAATGCTTACATTTCAGACAAGATCTCTCTGGTATGGACAATACTCTATCTGTAGGATTGTGAATTAGGTTCTTACAGTACATTGTATTAAGAAGCCTATTTTAGATTAATTGTGGCAAAAACAAATCAAAAGAGGGCGGACAAATGTATCCAAAGAGGGCAGATTGCAATTAATCAGCCAAAGTCTTTCTTGCATCTTTTAACTTTTGGAAAGAGGGTGAAAGATTACCGTTGATCCAAGAATTTCTGCATCTTTATCCAACCACAAGGTTAGATGGCTGATGAGATGGAAGCTTCCTGTCAACCACCGGCCAGCTGGGACAAAAAGCTTGGCCCCACCCTTGTCTGTGAAGGAATTGAGATAGAAGATGGCATTCTGAAAGGCTTTTGTGTTGAGAGTGACCCCATCTCCAACAGCGCCAAATTCAGTGATAGTGACACTGTGAGGTCGAATTTCCCCTGAGTTGGCCCGTTTGCTGCAATGTGGACTGCCCTTGACAGCCCATGGAGCACCACTGAACAATGCAAGTAGGAGAAACACATCCACCAGCTGAAATATGTATTTATTTTGGACATGGATTAGTGCCAAAGCTGGTCAACTATAGGATCTGAGTGCTCAGCCTTGACTGGCCTTTTGATATGCAGTTATTGGTTTTAGTCAAGGTATGTTGATCTATCGGCGCAAAAGGCCAAGGAAAAAAAAAAGTAAAGCAGATGTACAACAATTTGAGATGGAAAGAGCCTGATTTTTTGCATTTTAGGACACCAAGTTGTAAATTTCAAGTTCTTAGATTACAGAGAGGCCATCTATGCTAAATTAGATCTTGGCATTTGTTCATATTTAATTGGGCCAGAAACCAGATGAATCAAGTCTCTCTCTGATACATGCTACTAATTAATCCAAGAACATCATGTTTGTTTCAAACTCTAAACAAAAATAGCAACCATTTTGAGAAAGAAAAAAAGGAAAGGGAAATTTTATATAACCAGAAGAAGGGAGAAATCAAATGATCTGTAAAAGTAACTCACAGTAGAAGATCTCCTCATATGATTGAGATCTGCTTTTGCCGTTACAGCCCAAGCAGCTTGAGAAAGCCTGTGTCCGCCTCAGCTCAATCTCCTTCCTTGTGATCAAACAAGCAACAAGCAAAGGCAGAGAGACGAAAAGGAGAAAGCTTGAGAGGGTTGGTTAAAAATGAAATGAAAGATCAAACTGAGAAGATCACGGGCAATAGGTAAAATAGGCAAACTAAGCCAAACAGGCAAAGCAAGTGTGTGAGAGAGTGAGTAGATGATGGGTCAGGGAGAAAGCCACCACCACCCACATAAAATCATTGAAAGTGACCGTTGCTGCCCGCCAAAAATTAAGCAGTAGGTCCCCTATGCTTTTGTTGACTTGAGCTTCTCCAATACGTCACTTTCTCCTTCTCTGTGTCAGGGACTCAAAGCAGAGCAGTAGCAAGTTTTGATGAAAACTGGAGGCTACCCAGAAAAGAAAAGGAGGCTGGGGTGTTGTGCTTCTGATTCTTAGTATATTTTTGGGAGCACC